CCAGGGATTTCTTTTTCCCTTTTATGTAAGTATCTTACTCCCCTCACAGATACTGACACACCAGTGAGCTGCAGAAATAGGATTACATACTGCAGGTCCCTCTCTCCCCCATCTTGGTTGCTTATTTACCAAACAACTCTCGTTTATCCTCTTTACTGTGTTTACTTCCCACTTTCCTCCAGTCTTACTGTCTTACTATTATTCAGGTGCTTGGAGATGTTAAAAAAAACTTAAGAGACAGCCACCTCCAGAGCTGATTAAAATGAATTGAGCTCCGCTGATTGTTTTTGAATCCGCATCGATTTACACCAGATGAAGATTTGTTAGAGCTGCTGGCATTCACGGTGCACTTGCCCAAGTCCAGCCCACAAACCGTGTAATACTGAAATGATCCATCTTCCTCCAGCCTGTGCTGGTTTACAAATTGTCCTTGGACCGCCTGCTTTTACTACAGACAGACACATGGGAGAGTAATACTTGCAGGTATTCCAGATTTTGAACCAGTTATTCGTCTGCTCTTCCTATGTGTTACAGAAATCACTGGTTGTCAGATCACTTCCCTTGTCCATGAAATGAGCAGCGAAGTCCCACTGCTTGGTGGGGGGGCTGAGCCCTGGCCAGTGAGTGACTGAGCTTGTCCCAGAAATCTGCTAGCCTTACAGACTGTGATTGCTGCTGGTGCTAAGTGCCAATCCTCATTTTTTTTCTAATGTTCCATGGAAAAGTTTCTTAAGAGAAAATCCACATTTTTTAAAAGAGGAAACATCCTTCTGTGATCAAGACCAGAGAAAACAGCTCTTCCCCCAAACTGAGGGTGCTATCCCCATGTGTGTAACCATGCTGCAGCACAACAAAACATCACATGCGATCTCCTCTGGTGCTTGATCTATGCATGCAGTAGCACGCATCTGTACCTGGTGAGCCAGGCACCCAGTGCCCAACACTGCAGACACCAGCCTCAAGCACAGGAAATTCAGAGGCTGCTTTAAGGGCCTTCCAAGAGTCGCCCCACATGTATTTTCCCAAGAGTTTAACCCCTCTAGCAGTATTCTGAGTATTAAAGCTGATTTACACGTTTTGGTATTAGTTCCCTCATGGAGCAGAGAGGCCAAATCCATCCACTGGAATCGTTCTCACCATTTCTTGCGACCATCTCATACTGGGAGAACCCGAGTATTTTCAGCAGAGATGCAGCATGCTGGATTGGTTCTTGTAGTTAGTTTATACAAAGAAGCACCAAAGCACTCGGATGTATTTTATCACAAAAAGCCTTAGTGCCTTAAATTGGTATATGCTAAAATTTTAGCTTTTATGAGGGAAAACAAACCACCCCAGGAGAAACAGCTTTTATACAGACTGAATAAAAATACCGTTGAGTTACAATACCTCGAGCACAGTCACTCCCTCTCTTCCTGCTACAGAAAAGCAAACATGAGAGAGTTTGATTTGGTCTGGCCCTTTGAAACCAGTAAATGAGATTTCAACTTAAGCACAATAGGATTTTTCTTTTTCTTTCTACTTCAAATTTGATTCTTATGAAAGTGAGGGATTAACACAACAGATCCAAGCTTTGTGCAAATAGATCTCTGCCTGCACTTTCCTACTAAAACATTTAACTCTTGCTACGCCCTACAATCAGACAGTTGCTGTTATTTTGCTCTTCAGCATCTCTTCAGTGCTCACACTGTTAATTAAGCTGAGCTGTATGCTTTGGGCTAAATAAGCTATAGATAGCATTGATAGTCAGGCTGTAAATCCCACTTCATTTGAAAGACTAACAAGCGGAGAAATCAAGTTATTCCAGTTACACTTTTGTAATACTCTCCTGTAATACTTATGGATTTGTCACTGGGAGATGCATACCATACATGTCTACTATAGTGGATACATAAGATCTATTACAGGTACAATACATAAGCTATACAGAGATGTACACATAGGATACATCTATCCATGGGTAAAACTGGTACAATCATCCAATCTGAGCTCATATTCAGTAGGTACTTGGTATTTTTATTTTGGTTTACTTCTTTTTTAGCTGATGGGCTGGTGAGAATTTTAAAATGTTTTTCCTATTGCACCAAAAAAAGACCTAAGACATCTGCTGCTGCCAAGCCTGTTTTCATGCTTACTGGCACTTCCAGTTTTTCTCACACCCCATGGAGTGTACGTTTGGATAATAATTCTTGCCACTTTCACATTTACATTGCTCATCAAAAACTAGGTGATGAATCTCAGTGACACACCTGAGAGGTAGGCAAATGCTTTGATATCTCTTTCAGAGGGAAGAAACTGAGCGGGGGAGGGCTTTGAGGGTCCATTTGTGACGGGCACTGTAAACGGTCCCGTCCTCAGCACACTTTGACACTCTCCTGGTCCCCCCTGCAGTAACCACCTACGTCACAGCAGGGAACCAAGGGTGGGACAGCTCTGAAGCCTGCAGATATGCCTGACATGGTGTAAGAAGGAAAGGATGCTCTTTAGTGGTAAGACATAAGGCTGTCCTCACCCAGAGGTAAGCAAGAGTCAGGGCAGGCAAAGGTGGGGTCTTCAGGCTGGGTTCTGATTTCTACATCAAGGCAATCAGCGTGTGCCTTTCCTCAGATGAAGAGGGTTGTGCCATATCGATGTTACAACCCAAATTAGATGCAGCTGGAGGACGAGTGGGTGGCATTCACATCTAAAGGGGATTGGGTATATTATGAGTAAGCAGACAATGCACTGCCTTGGAGGTGGGAGACAGCTTTGTTGGAGATGTAGTGACAGAGGTCCCAATTGCAGGAGATACACAGGAATGAGGTTCCAGGAGGAGGAATGCAGAGCAGAGTTGGTGGGACGGAGGTACGAGAAAGGACAGGCAGAGTACAGCTATGGAGCTGGAGGCTGGGAACACACTGGAGGGACACTCAGCTTCAGCATCACCCAAATTAATCCCCTTACTCTTTCTCTAGCCACCTCTACTTCCCTGCAAAAAACAGAGTGAAGGATTTCTCACACTAGCTAAAGCCAACTCAGCTAAGCAATCCCGGATAATACTCTGTGTCGAAGGCAGAGATGCTTCTCTTGTGAAGTATTTATCAATAGGTATCTTTTACAGTGGATCAAGGAACCTGAACTACTGAGGAATGCTGCCAGGCACTTTAGGGCATCTTTTTAACAGAGCTGTTTTTAGGAAGGACTCGTTGATGAAAAGAAATGCTCTAGTTACTCTGTAAAAATACAATTAACAACATTTTCTTTTATAGATGTCCATCCCACATCTGAGCAGTTTTCAGCTTAGCTTTCGTTAGCACTGTGAATGCCAACAATAAGAAGATCTAAGAGGACTTTTCACTGTTCTCTGAGCCTAATATCTGTTCAAGCAGCTGACTTCTACGTCTATATTCACACTGTTGACAAATAACGGGTGTCTTCATCAAGTACCTGTATTATTCTTCACCGACATGAAGCATAAGACTTTGTTATGTGAATTCCCACAGCCTTTTCAAGGCAGCTCTAAATTTGTCTGTTTAAGTATCTTTTCTGCACCTCACATCTACCAGCGTCAGAGCAGATTTGAAGAGCAGTTCCTCTCTAGGCACAAGTTGCCTTGGAGCATTACTGCTCCTGTAGGAGTATTTTGCAGCCTTGGCAAAAATCATTCACAAATTGGCACTAGGTAGACAAATACAACAGCTGGTTTTGAAAAAAATACAACTTTCTACATGGAGTTGGACCAATCCCCTATGAACAGCCAATGGTAGATTAGGAGCTACAAGTGAGAGACTTTGCACTGTATTACCAATCCAATTTGACTCCAGTTGCAGTTCTCCATAGACGATTTTTAAGTAGTTCAGAAGATAGAGTGAAAGCCTTCTACCTCCTCAAAACTAATAAACATTCATTTTAGCTAAACTAGAATAGCAAAGATACTTATGTAAATTTAATAAGAATTTAGATACAGACTTCTGTCTTCCTGTTTGAATTCTGCCTTTTTGATGCTCTTGGATATACTGTCCTTCAAATCCTGCATAAATTTTTTAGACAACCACAAAGCATGTGCTATGCTCCACCACTGTGATGTCCCTGCAGAGGCTCATCAAAAATCTTGCAGTTGCTTTGCATGCAGACACCATTTTTTGTGAAAGTTACTTTCTTTTCTTTCCCCCTTCCCACCCCTCGCCCCCCAAATCCCAAAGCTGAACATCATTTAATCCAAACTGTGATTCAGGTGTCATTGCAGTACTTCGTAAGAATTATGGATTTTGACTTTTTCTGCTTGAAATATGTAGTATTATTTAGGTGAAGAAATTATTCCCACTCCCATTTTTCTATGTAACTGAAATCAGTGATTTCTAACTACCGGAGACCTATGCAAGCACATCTGTTGCAAAGACAGCAGTAGGGGAGCTGAAAGGGTTACTACATCATGTTGTACATAGGCTTCACATAGGCTTTTAAATTAAAAAAGACTGGTTTTGAAATGGATTCTGTAGATGATAATTTTGAAGCAAGAATAAATTAGAAGTGGAGTCTCCAAATGAAAAACTACATAAATTACCCTAGAGTTTCGGTTACAAGGGCTTGTATCCATCCAAAATGCTACACTTAGTGATGGGCATGGGCCACAAATCTCACATACCATGTGTAAATTTTGAATACTATCAGAACTGGATAGGACAGTGTTTTCTGCCTGTACACTTGGCCAAGCCAAAGCTACTGACATTCCCCAGCAACCTGCAGCAGTTTGACTTGGGGAGTTCATATTAATCTGAATATTGTGTCCCTGTCCCACTTTCAGTTTTTCCTCTCCTCATGCCCCTGACTGTACCTGAAACTTTATCCTTTAGACAGGCAGGATATGGTACATACAGTGACTTTCCAATGAAAACACAGATTGACTACAGGATGCATTTTGCCTTTAGGATGCCATTAAATAAAACAAGGTGTCAGCTAAGTCTTGGATCAACCTTTGTGGGGTTGCATTGCCCTAAGCACAGTAGAAGCATCTGGAGTCTTACCTTTTTATGGCTTTGTAGCAAATGATGACAACTACGAAGAGGAACACTAGTGTGGCGCAGCATACTGCAATGATAATAACCAGGCCTGGCCACCAGGTCTCTTCAGTGGGACAAAAGGTAGACTTGGGAGCTGTGAAGAGAATGTGGAAAAATACATGAGTTCTCCCAAATAAGCAGTGTATAATCAGATATGCTTCAGTCACCCATACAATAGCACTATGCCAGGGCCACAGATACACGCAAAGAGGATATTTCACATTTAGGACCCACTTTTTTCCCAAGCAATCAACTAATTTGGTACCAGGTGTCTCTTATCATGGTCCCCAGATGACCAAGTTCTCCTTGTCAGTGCTGTCCACACAATCAGCATGAAGGAGAAAGGCTCAGCTCTGCTACCCATGGCAAACCTCTCCTCCCTCTGCATTTGCCATCTTCTGCTGCATCAGATTTAGTTTGAGAGAGAGATGTTATGCTGATAAGTGTAGGCTTTCAAACCCCATTAGGGGAGGTTTATCGGGGAGCTGCAGCAGTGCCTACCAATCAGTATTGCAGCTGCTATCATTGTAACCTTGGAGTGAGGAAGGGGGACTTGTTTTAAAAGAACAGGAATTTTATTACATTTATTAACTGCTTTTAGAGGACTATAGCTGACACGCTTCTTCCTGTTACATTGTCTTTGAATTGTTTGTGTAATAGTTAAGAAATGTCAACATTAAGAAATGTTAACGCGTGAAAATACAAGGAATTATTATTACATTTTTCCTATTCAATTTAGCCCTAGAATTATCTATGTAAGTACCACTGAACACATGCAATATTTTGCATCAAGAGTAATACTGGTGGCATTTAGCTCAAATCTCTTCCTTCAAGGCCACATTCCCCTTCCCATGCTTTGAGGGGACACCTGGGTGCTGAAGGATGGTGAGCAACAGCCAGTGGCATGAGCAGTACCAGTGCACTGCAGAGCGGGAAGAGACCCTTAACTCAATGTACACAACCACATAAACTCCATGAGAATTTGGGTCACCCTAAATGAAGTTTAATAATGAATCAGTCAATGGGACTGTCTAAATCTACATTTTCAGTTAAGTAGGGGATAGAATAAAATATAGCAAAAGGCAATTTTGAGTCTAATTATTTGATCTGATATATCCTAAATTTTGAACTCCCTGTAATACACATCACAAATAGGTACACAAGTTAAAATATCACATTTGCATCATTTACTGTGAGCTGATATCTCCTGTGCCTCCCGTGTCTGAGAAGGAAAAGACATACACATACTTCTAGGTTTAACACTCCTTAGGTAAAACCATGAACTACACAATTACCAAGAAAACATTTGTTTTCCCAGTTGCATGATCTACAGAAGAATTGGCAACGTTCACCCAGAGAAATCTGCAGGAGCACCTTAGAAAAATGCTAGGTAAAGAACTGTAAGAAGCAATCAAAATAATAAAGCCAACAGCCTGACAATGTGGAAAAATACATGAGTTCAGCATTTGGTGCCACACAAGAGGTCCTATCTTTCTTATACACATCGGCATTCAACACATGCCATAACTCTGATCATACCTGTCTAGCAAATAGTGCCTTCAATTTATTATACACATACTGACTGTGAGGGTGGGAGTTTGGGGGTTTTTTGGTGTTTTTTTTTTTCATACGAGAGAGAAAAATAAAGCTGAAAAATTAAGTGATTGGAAAAACTAATGGTTCCTGGCTCCTCTTTTGACAATGTGTCCACTCCCAGAGTATCTCAGCAACTGCATTTCTACTTTATTACTACGTTGGCTGCAGAAGTCAGTTTACAGTGAGTGACGGAACTATTTATTGTGTTGTGATAAAGCTAATGTTTTGAATTTTTTTAATACTCTCTGCAAGTTTTCAACATTGTTATTTTCTAAGATTCCAGAACAGAGGGCATTTTAAAGATGACAAAATGTTTGCAGGAAGGAGTAAGCAATCTCAGGGCCAGCTCCACCCTCCTGGTATTGCCCTGACAAACACAAAAGGTTTCAGTGAAATCAGAAGAAATATATGCATCAGCAGGTGCCTTGTAAAAGCAGATGAGATCATAAAAAATGGGGCAAGTAGGGCCATCATTATCTCGTCCTTGCTCTTCCTCCACAGTGGAATTAACCAAACTATTCATAACGCTAACCAAGATGGTGAGACAGGGTTGCTCCTTGGCATAACATGAGACCGACAAATGGCAGAGACAGGGTATAAAACAAGGTTTGTCACACGCCTGCGCACCACATGCTCCTTATTGGTTTATCACAGTATTTTCACATGGAGAATAAAGAGATATATGTGGGATTGAATAGTGAATCTGAATTCTGACAGCCTATACGTAGTTATTAATGACAGGAAAATAAGAATTACTGATGTGGAGATGACCCCTAATCCACCTGGCTCAGTTCCCTTCCCCACTGGTCCAGACCATGCACTCAGAGAGAAGCACAAGAAATCACACTGGAAGCCTATTTTGTAGTGGCTGGTGGGTTTATACAGCTTTAAAAAGTATTTTCTATTTCTACTCCTTATTACTGCAGTGCTAGGCAATCTTGTTTTCCTTAGAAATGTCCGCTCTTTTTCCAATAAGCGTCTGGCTGCGTGCTATTTTCTGCCTTTCTCAGTGTGCATTCAGATAGCCTTTATTACCGTGGCATTTCTATGTCCTTAATGCATTTCTCCTCACAATTATCTTCTGATGAAAAGCAGAACTGCTTTTAATCCCTTTGTGCTGATGGGAAGCCCAAGCGTGGCCTGCATGGATGCCTCCATGTGCCTGCTGTGCTGCGTGCCTGTGAGCAGCAGCTGGGAACGCCAGCCCAGAGGGGAACTTCCCAGAGAGCCAGCAAGGTTCCTGGGAAGCGCCATGTCCTCGGAGAGGTGCCGCTTGGCGAGTCCCACACTAAGCTCTTGACGTTAGGGAGGCATTGATGTCTCCGTGACCCTGGGATGGGGCTCATGGCTCCGCTCCCTGGGACAGCCCAGCGCTGCGGAAGCTCTCCATCCTCCTATGCCTGGGTCCAAGCCCCCAGCTCATCACAGTGTAGAAAAACCAGGCTGCACCTGCGAGGGGCTGAGCCCGCTTGTGTCATGTCCTTAGCGATCAGAAATTATCCCGGGGTGAGGACACCCACAGCACCCTCTTGCAACCGTGCCACTTTGCATGGAACAGCAATGCATTTCTTCAGCACTTTGTGGAAGAGGGAAGACATGGGTCCCAAATCCTGCTCTTATACAGAAATTATTACAGTAAACCCTGAGCAGATGTCCCACACTACCTATAACAACGACAAAGTCCAGTTGTTTTGTTGTCTTCCAAAAGCTTTGATGACATGCAGGAAAACACTTCAGTTCTCATGGTTGCCTCCTTCTTTGTACCACCTCTTTCAAATCCATTACAAGCCTACAAAACCTGTATGCTTTCAGAACCAAACCAGAATCCTTTTTTCAGTATCCTTTCCTTTGTCATGTAAAGAAACAACAAGCCACCTACTGCTGCCATTCACAGCAGTGTATGTGGGGACGGGGGACAGCTCTGGGCACAGCGAGTCCCTTCGTCATCACCGCGGGGCTACTGAGACCCCAGGGCTGGCTAGCCCGCCCACGGTGTTTGCTCCCTCGGCACCCATCGCTGAGCAGTCTCGCGTGAGCGGTTTCAGCTGCTTAGAGCACCATTGCCTCCTGATTTGACTCATTCCTGGCTGCTCTTCACTGGTCTCAAAATCAGCTGAGCGGAGAAAGTGGTTTTCACAGTGCAAAACAACTCGATGAAAACGTGCTTTTTTCTCCTAAGCCCCGAAGCGTCACCTTGCACATTGAACATACTGTTGGGTAGAAAGTGGTAGGAAAGCGATGACATTTTAAAGATGCTAAGCAGAGTGAGCTAAGCAATCACAGCCTGTCATCCTGACAGAAATCCTACCAAACTAATGAAAATCTCATTCAATTAATAAAAAAATAAATAATTGGTGCTAAAGAGCATAGATTTAGGAAAACACATCGTGTCAAACTAACTAGGTGTTTTCTGAGGAGATTACTGGTTCATAAACAGATGTATTAGTGCTGGCATGATAACTTCAGACTTTGGTATAACATTTGACGTAATTCCACATGATGTTGGAGTTATGAAACTATAAAGCTACACCGTGTGGCACACATAAATTGAGTTAAAAGCCAGAGAACTGGTATATCTCAAAATCTAACTATAAATGGAAAGTCACTGCTGAGAGCATGTGGTTTTTAACAGTGATTCTCCGCTTTCACCCAAAATAGGCTGATGGATACTAGCAGAGTTTGTAAATGGCTCAGGAACGTACTCTACTACAAGTGGAGACTAAGCATATTTAGATTAGAAATAGGGTAATTATTATCATTACGGGCAATTATTCATTACAGTAGTCTATCAGCTCTGGTGGAGTATTCCGCTGAAAAATTTAGTTTAAGGTAGACTTTTGACTTTTCCTAAAAGAAGTCTAAATTCAGCTAAAGAGATTGGACTCAGCATAAAAATTAGGCAAAGAAAATACTCTGTCTCTGGAAAGTCCACATGAGCACAATGCCTTTTTTTTTCTTGGCTTTAAAATGTATGAAGTACATATGTTGGTTAGATTTACACTTAGAGGGCCAACACCTTCAACTATTCCCAACAGCATCAGGTCTAAATAAATACAATGAATAAACAGACCGACTTCAGACCTACAGTGGGTGGCTGGATCCAACTTATTGAAAACAAATCCATGGAAAAGTACTTTTAGAGCAAAGGCATCCTGCCAACTATTTAAGCATCACAAAACTCTCACACACTTGCTTTCTTTGACTAAATTTGTTTTGAAGGCTCAGCATAAAGACACAGCTCCGGTTCTAATGTTAGTAGATATCTGTGCAGAAAGATATCTAGCCAGAAATGTGCATACCAGGAAAGATTAGCTCGGCTACAGAGGGTTTCCCTCAATGTCCAGGCACAAAAATAGAGGTTGTGTCACTGGAAAGGAAGCTTCCCTAAAATCACAAAGAAGTCTCTGCTTTCTTTTAGCTAATCTTAGAATGGGTCGGGTCACTCTCAAAATTGCCCTGAGCTGCTAAAAACAAAAAATAGCGATGAAGCTGTTTTAA